GGGGGGACATGGGAGAGTGGGAGGTAGGGTAAAGAATGGGGGGAGCCAACAAACCCAGGGACAAGGGATGAACAAGTGATCTAAAATCGATGGCCAGGAAGGCATAGAATGCCTGGTAGGGTTTGTTCAAGTGCAATGTAGCCAAGAGGAATTACTGAAAGCTGAATGAAGGTCAAACATGATAGTGGGACAAGAGAAAAGTAAAAGGAAATAGAGCAGTGGTTCTCAACCTTCTTTATGCTGTAACCCTTTAAGACAGTTCCTCATGTTGTGATGACCTTCCAACCATAACATTATTTTAGTTGCTACTTCATAACTGTAATTTTGCTACTGTTATGATCCAGCTGACCACTGTGAAAGGGTCGTTAGACACCAAGGGGGTCACGACCCATAGGTTGAGAACCACTGAAATAGAGGAAAGCATTAGGAGGCAAAGGACATTTATAGAAGTATAGATACAGACATGCACATATATAAATATATTTATATATAATGATAGGGACATAGATCTATGTACATATACTTCTATATTAAGTATTAAGGTAGCAGATGGACATTGGACCTCTACTCAGGTACTCCCTCAACATAAGAGCACTTTGTTCTAATAACCTGACATTTTGTGATGCTTACCTTTCCAACATGATCACTGAAGACAAAATGGGTGCATAAGCAAATGTGGTGAAGAAAGCTGATGGTGCCAGCTATTGAAAGATATAGTGTCTGTGGTCTTAAAGGCTTGAAGATAAACAAGCAGCCTTCTAGCTGGGAAGCAGCAAAGCCCACATGGAAGAAGCACAGCACCTGTGTGATCATGAGGTGTCGACGGGATCAGGTTTCAGACATCAGAAGACCCAAAACAAACAATCATATCAATGCAAATGAGGGCTGGTGGAGAGGAGACCCAAAGCCCATCTGTAGGCATTGGACATCCCCTCACAGAAGGGTCACAAGGAAGGGACGAGCCAGCCAAGGTGTAGTATAGCACCAACAGGACAAAACATACAACATTCCTCTAGTTCTTTAATGTTTCCTCCCCTCACCCACCCACTATCATGACCCAGTTGTACCTGACAAATCTGGATAGACCAGAGCATGTACACTGATACATATAGGGACTCTTGACACACAGACTTCAGGGCAGATAAACCCCTCAGGAACAATAATGGGAGTAGCAATACCATGAAGGTAGAGGAAAGGTGGGGGAAGAAGGAGAAACTGATTACAATGATCTAAATATTCCCCCCTCTCCCCCAGGGTGACAACAACAGAAACATGCGTGAAAGGAGACAGTGGATGGTGTAAGATATGGAAATAATAATAATTTATAATTTAGCAAGGGTTCATGAGAGTGGGAGGATGGAGGAGGGAGGAAAAAATAAATGAGGAGCTTATACCAAGGGCTCAAGTAGAGAGAAAATGTTTTGAAAAGGATGATGGCAACATGTATACAAATGTGCTTGACACAGTGGATGTATGGATTGTTGTAAGAGCCCCACTAAAATGATTAATGATAATAATAAATAGACAACCTCTGTTCCATTTTTTGACATTAAACTAGCTTATTGCAATAGTTTAGCTCTGAGTGTATGGAGTTAGAAGTGTTTATATTGCAGCCTTATTCGCTATTTCTATTGTTTGTCCTTCGACACATAACTAAAGCATGTTTAAGATGTAAAAATTCACTGCCATCGAGCTGATGCAGGCTCATGGCAAGCCTATTAAGCCAAAGGGCAGAGCTAGCCTTTGGAGTTTCCGAGACTGTAACTCTTTAAGAGAGTAGAAAGCCTAGTGTTTCTCCTATGGAGCAGCAGGTGGTTTCAAACTTCTGGCCTTATGGGTACCAAACCAACTTGGAGTTATTACACTACCAGGATTTCTTAAAGCTTTGTAAGTCTAGGTCAAGTCAATGTGGCTGCGGAGGATTTCTATCTCTGAGAGATTTTGTAAGAATTGAATGTATAATGTATAGTCTGCTTTTAACGGATTATCAAAATGATTAGCTAAAATGACAATTTTGCGTGTGCTTTCATTAAAAATGTCCACCGCAAGATCATAAGGGCAGCATTCAGTCAGGGACAAAGTTCAGAGTGCAAGAAGGGATAGGAAAGAAAGGGCAAATGGAAACAGGGAGATGCTGTTGTGGGGATTGTCAGTGGCATGAACCAAAATAAAATGTGTACAGATTGTTGAAGAGATAGCTGATTTGCCCTGTAAATCTTCACCCAAATCACAATAAAAAGTTTTTTATAAAAACTAAAAATAACAATTTCCACCTCAGGTAACAATTTTCTATTCATCATTTGGGTACATTGCTTATGTTAGATTATGTTTGCCCAGTTTCTTTCTTGCCCAAGAAAAGGAAACCTTCAATGAGATAGATGCGTTGACAAAATAGCTGCAACAATGGATTCAGACATACCAACAGCCATGAAGATGGCCCAGGACCGTATTTTTTAATTTTTTCAATATGTATACTTGTGGCATCCTTAAATTTGATTACAGCAGAAAGTTACATTATAACTTTTAAGATGTGTTCCATTATGGGGATTTTTAAATAAGCATGGAACTCTAGGGGAAAGTAAACAAACTGCCTCTGTAGATCCATCTTCATAATCCATCAATACTTTGCAAATCTTTTGAATCTATTTCCTGAGAACTAAGATCTATGTCAATATGACTTAGTAGGGGTGAGATGGGGGTGCATATTTTCCCAGAAAACTGTTGCACTGGAAAGATAAGACTAAATTAGTAAATAACATCGTTTGCTTCATGACATTATCATTTATCAATTTAAGAAATAATAGTCTTCTCATCTGGGAAAGCTGATCACAATTAACAATTTACTTATTAAAATGAGAATTTTGCTACCTCACTGTATCCATTAGCCCTAAATTATTTCATCATGACCTTTGCCCAATCTCAATCAACGCCCTCCCTGCCTGAAACCATTGCAGGGTGAGATATTGCTAAGACTGCTGAAACGATGCTCTCCCTTTTAGAAATGTTATTGAACAATATCACTCTGTTATAAATAGGTTGTCTGGTGCCATCGTCAGAGAAGTAAATGCCTATATACCGGTATATGATTATAAGAAGGCCCGGTTGCACAATAGTTATGTGCTAGCTGCTATCTAAAAGGTTGGTGGTTCAAACCCATCCCTCTGTACTGAACAAGAAAAGCCTGGCAATCTGCTCCATTAAATGTTGCCGCCTAGTGCTTACTTTGGGCAGCACATATATTACAACCGGAATGATAGAAGATTAGCATGGTCCCTGCACAAAGAGGACATGTAAATTAGTGAAATGCGCCATATTTTTTTTAACCAAGACACAGACTTTTAGGCCAATGGAATAGACTTCGGAGGTTACCAAGGAAGGGAGAACAAAAAGGGAAGATGAGTAGAGGGTTGGCAGGTATTTGGGTGAAGGGGTTTGGTGATCCACAACAGAAATGAGACATCAAAGGAGAGAGATTAGGGTCAACTCAAGAGGGTGGAGTGGGGGTGGTAAGGGGATTTGACAAATAACTTAAAGTGTTAAACTCAGGGTCAGAAATGTAAACCTCCCTCCTAATTCACTACACACACACACACACACACACACACACACACACACACACATTTAACACTATAGCTTAGAAAATCCTATGAGCAGTTCTAGCTATTTCATGGGACCATTATGAGTTAAAAATCAACTCCAGAGTACCCAACAACATCTATGATGTATGTGTGTAATTTTATCTTGGCAAAGTAAAAAGCAAAATCAAGACTTAATACCATTTGAACAGTGTGCATCTTTAATTGATCAGGCCTTTTTCAATAACACAATCACCATGCTGTTATTATATTTAACATAATTAGCTACTAATTCTTAATATCAACAAATACTCCATTCAAATTCAAATTTCTCTGATTATCTCAAAGGTGATTTTTTTATAGTAACATATTTCTATAGCTTTATTTTTTGTTAACCCATCAGATAAAGAGATTTACAAAAAAGAAGCATCTTTTCAGAGGTGAAGCTATCAGACTTCTAGGGCGGCAGCTGATTGTTGGCTCAATTTGATGTTTTTTCTTTTATATTACCATTCAAATAAATTACTTACATTACATTTGGTTAGTATGTCTCTAAAGTCTCTTTCAAAAGGAGCACTGGTCTGAGGGGCCGGCCCCAATCCCAACTACGTGGACAGTGCCCCCACCCAGAAAAATTCACTTCAGAGGACAGCCCTGAAGCTACAGTTCAGAGAGAGGGACACGTCCAATCAGAGTACACAGTAGAAAACAAGGGGTCGGGGGAGTGGAGCACATCCTGACCTACCAAGCCCTGAGGACAATATTCCTGCTCAGAGTAGCCAAAGCACAAACAGGATCATAGGGCCTACCCCACCACGAGATACGACGTCCCTCAATGACCCATAGGGCTACTGGGGACAATACTAGAGACACAGTGTGGGAACTGTGCCTGATAGGACACCACCACACTGAGGAAAACACTAAGGGTGTGCAACAGAACAGCAAGGAGAGCAGAACAATGAAATCCCCAGGGGAATTCCAAAAACAGACTGTGGGGCCAGGGTGTGGCACCCCATCAGACTCAATCAGAAAATACTCCTAAAGGTCGACAAACAGACCTTGAACTATAGGCTTTTCTTTTTCTTGTCTTTGGTTTTGTTGTTGTTTTGTTTTCTTTTGTTGCTTTGATTTTCTCTGGTTTGTTTTTGTGCTTATCATTGTTTCTGCATGTCTATTTAGATAATATAGGTGGGATAAACAATCCGGAGGAGAAAACAATGGGAATGACTGTTCTGGGGGGACATGAGGTGAGGGGCATGTGGGGAAAAGGAAGTGGGTGTTAACAGGGACAAGGGCATAACAAGCAATATAAAATAGATGGCGAGGAGGGTATAGGAGGCCTGGTAGGGCTTGATCCAGGGCAATGTAGAGAGGAATTACTGAAACCCAAATGAAGACTGAACATGATAGTGGGAAAAGAGGAAGGTAAAAGGAAATAGAGGAAATAATTAGGAGGCAAAGGGCATTTATAGAGATCTAAGTATACACATGTACCTATGTAAATATATTTATATATGATGATGGGGAAATAGATCTATGTACATAGGTTTAGTATTAAGGTAGCAGATGGACATTGGACCTCCACTCAAGTACTCCCTCAATGAATACTTTGAATACTTTGAATACAATGAATACAAAGAATACTTTGTTCTATTAAACTGGCATTCCATGGTGCTCACCTTGCCAACACAATCACTGAAGACAAGAGCTGGTGCAAAAGCAAATGTGGTGAAGAAAGCTGATGGTGCCCGGCTATCAAAAGATATGGCATCTGAGGTCTTAAAGGCTTGAAGGTAAACAAGTGGCCATCTATCTGAGAAGCAACAAAGCCCAAATGGAAGAAGCACACCAGGCTGTATGATCACAAGGTGTCAAAGGGATTAGGTATCAGGCATCAAAGAACAGAAAATCATATTATTGTGTGCTCACCTCCCTGATATGATTGCTGAAGACATATGGGTGCATAAGCAAATGTGGTGAAGAAAGCTGATGGTGCCAGGCTATTAAAAGATGTAACGTCTGGCATCTTAAAGGCCTGAAGGTAAACAAGTGGCCATCTATCTGAGAAGCAACAAAGCCCACACGGAAGAAGCACACCACCCTGTGTGTCGGAAGGATGAGGTATCAGGCATCAAAGAACAAAAAAATCTTATAATTGTGAATGAGGGGTAGTGTGGAGTGGGGACCCAAAGCCCATCTGTAGGCAACTGGACATCCCCTCACAGAAGAGTCGCAGAGAGGAGATGAGCCAGTCAGGGTGCAGTGTAGCAACAATGAAATATACAACCTTTCTCTAGTTCCTAAATGCTTCCTCCTCCCCCACCCCCACCCCCGACTATCATGATCCCAATTCTATCTTACAAATCTGATTAGACCAAAGGATGTACACTGGTGCAGATAGGAACTGGAAACACAGAGAATCCAGGGCGGATGATCCCTTGAGGACCGGTGGTGAGAGTGGCGATACCAGGAGGGTGGAGGGAGGGTGGAGTAGAAAGGGGGAACCGATTACAAGAATCTACATATAACCTACTCCCTGGGGAACGGACAACAGAAAAGTGGGTGAAGGGAGACATCGGACACTGTAAGATATGACAAAATAATAATTTATAAATTATCAAGGGTTCATGAGGGAGGGGGGAGGGGGGAGGGAGGGGGAAAATGAGGAGCTGATTCCATGGACTTACGTGGAGAGCAAATGTTTTCAGAATGATGAGGGTAAAGAATGTACAAATGTGCTTTATACAATTGATGTATGTATGGATTATGATAAGAGTTGTATGAGCCCCCAATAAAATGATTTTTTACAAAAAGATTAATTTGGGTTTTCATTTCCAAAAAAACCGTAGAATCTACTGGTGATTTCCATATGTCAGACAAAAGACAGAAACATGAATTAAAAGTTGATGGGATATTGATCAATTTGGGGATAATTGACATATTTATAATACTGGCTATTTCAATTCATGACTAAGTTTAATTTACATAAAGCCTCACACTTTAATAACTATTTTCAGTACTTCTAAATGCCAAAGTTATTTTGTTCCTTTTTTCTACACATAGCATTATGAGTCAATTTATACATATTTTTGTTTTCAAATTTAAAATTATATTCTAGTCTGATTTTCAGCCTATACATGGTTTTCCCCTTGTCCCCATATAATGTCCATGCTTACACCTCAGATCCATGTAGATTATTCTATTAAAGCTAGTTTTAGGGAGAGTCAGTGTGTCATACTGTATATGCCTAGCTATTATATTTTACTGTATATCTAGTTAGTATAATGGTATTTTCTGTCGCTTGCTACATCTACATGATTTCAATGTCACTAAATTGTCTCTGAAGCCATATAATTTCTATAGTTTCTGATATCATATCTATATCCCTTTCTCACTTTATACTCCTTTCCTTTCCTCTGTGCTTGCTTATCCAAAAAAAAAGTACAAAACAGAACCCATAGCCATCAAGTTGACTCTGAGTTACAGCAACACTACAGGACAGAGTAGAACTGCATCATAAGGTTTCCAAGACTGGAACCCTGGTGCTGCCTTGGGCTAACTGTGACAGCATATTGGGCTACCAACTGCTCTGCACCATAAAATGCTGCTGTCTGCTCTCATAACATTTTACTGCTACAGAAGTCCTATCTACGGTCATTATGACTCAGATTTGACTCTATGGTAATGCATTTTAATCTTTACAGAAGTAGGACTGTCATATCCTTCTCCAATTTATAGGTTTGAACCATCAACCTTTCAGAGTGCCTTAAGCACTTTGTCTAGAGGAGATGAATAAAGGTGAGTCATTCAAACTAATGGTTGATGGAATAGGGAAAGAAAAAATTTAAAATGCAAACCCAAAAAGTTCGTATTTAGACTTTATTCCAATGATTTTCAGTAAATCTATTTTAGTTGTCAGTTAATAGAATTATCTGATTTACCTCATCATCGTTTGGTTAAAAAGCTTTTATAGCTATTTAGGAGATAAAAGTGTGTTCTTTTTCAAATTTGAGCTTCAAGAAGAAAAAAAAAAAGGCAAGTGGAGAGGACAGACTAGACTTTTCCCCTCAAATTAGTGCAAATGTTATTTGTCATCTTTGAACTGTTTTCACCAGCCAAACTGCCATTTCAGTTCTTTAAGAACTTCCTACCTACTTTCTTGATACATCACAGCAATTTGATTTAAAATACAGTGAACATTGAGTTCGTGAACCCGGTTGTTCTTGAAGAGTTCCATAAAGTACTTGATCCAAAGGTCTAGACATCTTGAAATGGACAATGACTTGTTTTCCAAATCTGCACAAGTAGGATAGGAATTTCCTAAGGGAAAGTTCCTACCCATGCACATGTACTTTAAATGCCACATTTTCTTTTTAAAAACAAACAAACAAAAAACAATGTAGAGGACAACAGTAAGCTCTAGAAAAGGTATCTCAATTTTGGCACTTAATGGGGAAAAGTTACCACAAACAAGATCTAATGGCAACTTGGTGTCATAGTAAGAACACATACTATGCTAAAATAAAAACAACGAGATTTATCGAAAGTTCAAAAACAGTTAGAACCTGTACGACCATTGTGGAAAATGACATGGCACTGCCTCAAACAACTGGCAATAGAAATTCCATAGGAGCCGGCAATACCTATACTGGGTATAGACCCTAAGAAGTAAGAGTCATTACATGAAAAGACATGTGTATGCACTCCTATGTTTATCACACCACTGTTCATAATCGCAATAAG